TACTCAAATGTCACAATATTTTTATGATTCCACTGTATTTTAGGGCTGGGTAGTCCATCTAATGCCTTCCTTTAAACATAACATTTTTCTTCTGCTGGGCTTTGTGCTATTGCAAATTTATGAGGCTGTAAGACACAATCTGTGGTAACTGTGCATACAGATAGCACAAATTCGCAAACTTGTCTGTGTGAAATCTTCTGAAAATTCAGACCTCTGCTAAAAGGAGACTGTTGGAAACATCTCCTGCATCTTGAATCAGATTAAGTTATGTGATACATGGATTAAATAATATGATCCACCATGTTGCAATTATGACATGGCTTCAGGGTTAACCTGAGCTTGCCTTCTTGCACCCATATGTGTAACTGATACCTTCACAACTCTTGCATCCCTAGGTGGTATTATTTTTAACTAAGATTAGTAAATCTTAGAGGACTTTGGAGAGGTGACTTCATTGCTCTCTACAGAGGGGGAAAGTAGAGAGGGAGATACTGAGGTCTTCTCACTGGTATCCAGTGGTAGGACATGTGGGAGGTTCAGACTGGACACGAGGAAGCATTTCTTTACCAAGTGGGTGATCAAACACTCTCCTAGAGAGACGGTTAATGTTGCAAGTCTGTCAGCATATGAGGCATTTGGACAATGACCTTAACAACATGTTTAACTGTTGGTCAGCCCTGAAGTGATCAGGCAGTGGAACTGATGATCATTGTGGGTCCATTCCAACGGTAATGACTCTAGTCTGCTCTATACTATTCTGTCTTTTAGCAAACCAAATAGGATTTCTCAATTCTCAGCATTTTACAGGGGTGGTAAAACTGGTAACTCCTTAGTTAGTTGCTTCTTCTGTGATGGTTGTTTCATTGCTTAATTGTAGTATTTAATGCTTAAAGGGTTTCACTGGATCTGCAGTAACTTTGTTTATAGTTTCTGCATTCCATTTCAAACATGGAAATACTCCCCTGAGTTTCTGATCAGAAATTGAGCTGTGTAAAACTACACACTACTTTTTCACTGTGTTTAAATCCCTGTCGACACATTTCACACTTCTGAAAACATTTGAAACATCTCAGAAACACTTGAAAATAAATTCATGTGATTGCCATCCCTCACGAGGTGTAACATTGTGTTCAAACATGTAATTGCACTTTTTCTCTGGCTTGAAATTTGCTGATACTCCTTCTATACTGCTGCTTTCTGTGAATTTGCTTGTCTTGACCCAGAGCTTCTGATCTGCAGTTAAGTATGCTTCCAAGGACAGTCTTCCCTTCTTAATCTGCAAAATTAGTTAACATCATTAACAAAATAATAAACTCTGTGTGGGTGAGGTACTGTTATTGTCCTATGCTTCCTGTCTTAAGTTTTCATGATTCACTATAGAAAACAGCCTCAGAATTCTCTCAACTCCTTTTCTGGTTCACACTCTGGATTACTTCAGTCTTACTGGTATACTGAATGTAGCCAATTTGTTTACCTTTTGAAGTTTTAATTGTCTTTGTCCTTACAACTTTACTAGGAGACTATTCCCTCACTATTAACATTAATCTTCCCCTTCCCTGTCACATCTAATCTTTTCCTCAGAAGAAGAAAGTGTTAGTTGTGTTTCTGTGTTCCACAGGTTAGGAAGGATCTCTGGACGTCAACTGATCCAACTCTCTGCTCAAAGACAAACCAGTTTTGATGTTATATCAGGTTTTTCAGGTGCTTGTGCAGTTGAACTTTGAAAATTTCCAAAGACATAAGTTTTGTAGCTCCACTGGAGAGTCTGCTCCATTCCCCAATTCTTGGTATTCTTTCCATACAAAGTAGGATTTCTGATGTTTCAAGTTGTCTGTTGACTCTTGTCCTTTCACTTTGCACCCATTAGAAGTAAAAGCTCATGTCAACTTCTGTTGAGGCCAACCATTGTTCATCCCTAAGCTGAACACTTCCAGCTTCTCTGTGAGCATCATGTGGTCCCGCCCTCTAAGCTTCTTGGTGGCCTTCCATGAAGTTAGGGGATGTTTTGATATTTTTTGTGCACTGAGGAGCCCAGAGTTAGGCGTAGCATTCCAGATATGGCTTCACAAGTGACAAATATAAAAGGTAATCTACTTCTCTCAACCTACTGGCTATGCATGTACCAGCACAGTCAGTGCAAAGGCTAGCTGCTCATTCCTCTTTGCTTGGCTTTGTTGACCATCAGGGCTGTCAAGTCCTCTTTCACAAGGTGCCTTCTAGCTGGAGAGTGCCTTCCTGTACTGTTGTGTGGTGTCATTCCGTTCCAGCTACAGGACTCTGCACTTGCCTTTGTTGAACTGTGACGTTCCTGTCAGTTCATTTACTCATTCTGTCTGGGTCACTCATAGGAGCAGCCTTGCCCCCCAGTGTATCAGCTTTGAACTTAAAACCACTGACTGTGACTCCAGCAAGTTCTCCACCCACCTGGTAATTTCACTGTAATCCATGTAGGCCTGGTTGGGCTACAAAAATACTTTCAGATGATGTGTTGAAAGTCATGCTACAGTCAAGGAAAGGATGTATGTACTGCTTTCCCCTTGTCCACCAAGACAGACACCTTGCCATGGAAGGAAATCAGATTAATCAAACACAGTTTGTCCTTTTTAGATCCATCCTGTCCTCATTCTTTCTTCTCCATCAAGTGCTTGGAAGTAGATTACAGAAGGATTTGCTCCATGATCATAGTGGGCAGTGTGGTCAGGTTACTGTTCCAGCCTGTAGCTTTCTGGATCATCCTTGTTGCCCTTCTAGAACATGGACATGACATTTGCCCTTTACCAGTTATCAGGAGCCTCCATGTGTTGCCATGATCTCTCAAAGGTGATAGAGAACAGCCTGGTAATCATTTTGTCTGGCTTCTTCAGCACACTGGGATGCATCCTGTGTCATCTCAGGACCAGCTGTGTGCCAGGTTTGCTTTATTGGTCATTATCTCTAACTTCCACTACTGCAATACTTCGCTGCCCCACACTCTGCTGTTACCTTTGAGGACTTGGAAGGCCTGTGAGCAGAGCTCGAGGGTGAAGTCTGAAGCAAAAAAGGCATCAAGTACCACGATCTTCTCCATGTTCTTAGTGCGAGATCCCCTACCTCACTGAGAGCAGCAGCCCTGTATTTGCCTCATTCTTTCCCTTATTGCCAGTGTATTTATAAAGGCTCTTGTTTCCTTCCTAACCCTGGATAGTTTCAATTCCATCAGAGCTTGGCCTTCCCAATTCTGTTTTTTCCTGCTGAGTAACCCATCTTTGCTTCCACGTTCCAAACCTTGGCTTTTTGTTCTTGAGTTGAGGTAGAGGTTGCCCATTCTGCCAGACTGGCTCTCTGCCATGCCTGCTCGATTTCTAGCTAATTAGAACAGATTGTTCTTGTGCTATGAACATGTCATCTTTGAAGATCAACCCACTCTTCCACCCTTCACAGCAGTTTCCCACAGGATCCTGCCAGTGAGTTTCCCCGAACAAGCCATAGTCTGTTCTCCTGAAGGCCGAGGTCTGCTATTTGCCTTCCTCAGTTCTGTTAGAATCTTAAATTCCACTGTCTCATAGTTGTTTCAGCCAAGGCTGCCATAGACTTTGTCTTCTGAGGCCAGTTTGTTCTTGTTTGGAGTCATAGATCAGTGTCTCCCTGATTTGACTTATGGCTTGCTTGGAACAAAAGAAATGGTCCTGATGGTCAGGCATCTCCTGGATTGCTTGTAGCTTGCCAAGCTGCTCTTCATGAATATGTAGGAATGGTTAAGCTATTTACTAGATGTTTGTTATCATTAACTCCCTTAGACTATGTCATCCTTAATGTAATACTGAATTAACTCTATCTCCAATCTTTTTTATTCCTGTGTTCAGATCTGAGATCCCTTTAATGCCTTTCTGGGGATCAAATTCCATGGTATCTGACCATAAACCTCGCAATATATACCTCTGCTCCTCTCTGAATATAGGCATCCACAGCTTGTCATACAATTTCATGCCCTTCCCTGGTAGAGTTCTTGCTTCAGCCACCTGTTTTGCTTTGTTTTCTTCTTGCTCTAAGTGTATGCAGGAGCTTGTTACGCCTAGGAAAGATTACCTCCAGTATTATGGATTCCATTCACTGCTTCCATTATCTTTTGTCCTTATAATAATATAATATTTAAATAATGCATTTAGCCGGGAATGCATGCACTGACATGCTGCATTTACAAAATTAAAGAGTGTAGGACCTTGAATGTTTTTGGAATTTGTCAGAGATAAGAATTTCTCTGATTTCCCGTGCAGATGTTCACAGCTTCCAAGAAGGCACATACTGAAAGATAGAGCTTGTCTGCAGAATGTTATACCAGAGGATATGTGAACAGAGCATTGTAGATCTAAATTTTAGAAGTGTAGAACTACATATGCAGTAAACTTCAGAAAGCACTTTGAGATGACCAGCAGGTACACAGACATACGTAAACCTGAATCAGTGTTCCGTATGGAATGAGTGAGTGGATCTGAAGTAATATCCTTGCAGGATCTGCAGTTGTACATGAAGGTTACCCAGTTATATTCCTCACTGTTTGACTGCTGTTGAATCCTCCAGCTCTGTAGGAGCAGGTTGCACCTGCAGGTTTTTTTGTGTACCAAGCACTCCACGTCTACATTATCAGTGGAGTGTCAGTGAATCCTGGCAGCACAGCAGGTAGCAATGAGTAATTGTCTGAAAATTCAAGTTAAGCATCTCTGGATCTTTTCATTACCGGAGTCTTCCCATGAGATTGTGGGTAATTATTAGAGATGTGAAATGAGGGTCAGCAAAGTCCGAAAGACATTTCAGTTGTTACAGCTAAAGTTAGAGGGTTTATGGTTTCCAAAGAACTATGAAAGGGGATATTAATAGTGACTGCAGATATCAAGAATTACCAGGAAGGCTCTAAGCATTTAAATAAAAACAACTTATTTTTTCTGTAAATGAAAAATGCTAGAGAAAAAGCTTGTATTCTGTTAATGCATGCATTATCACAACTTTCTTTTGATTTGTTTTAGATGAGAAGATTGTGGAAAAAATACGAGCTTTACAAATGAAAGCTGAAGACTATGACGTGGTTAAGGTGATTGGAAGAGGGGCTTTTGGAGAAGTGCAGCTGGTAAGAACGTAATGATTTAATGTTTAGACAGATTTATGACTCTAGTCAAAACCTTCCCCGGTCTTGCATTCTTTATATCTAAACATGCATTCTTACAAAGAATAACTGTTGTTTTCATTGTATCATGAGGTCATTTCTATGCATAGTAAACAGCACATCCGAGTTTAAAACATGGTGGATTGGAAGGGAAGCACCTGGGAAACAGTGTACTATCATTTGATCAAAATGGGAAAGGCAGCTGATGGCTATTCTAAATTTTTTTGGCCACAAGCATCCCTGTATAATAATATGTGAAACCTTCCTATGAAAGAGCAAGCAGATAGTGTGACAAAAGGATTTTGTTTTGCTCTTGTAGTTGTGATGCTTGCATTGTATTGAACTGACATGACTCAAGTAGGATTTTTGAAAGACTCTTTTCTTAACATTGTCCCCTCAGCATTGTATGTGATGTAATATCTAATGTAAGAATGGGATTACTTTTAAAAATTTTTATTGCACAGAAATTCTATTTAAAAAAAGCAATCAAACTTCAAAAAGTAGCTTACTTAATTTTGATTTTTCCCAGACTTCCAGGTCATACTGATAAATAGCACAAAAATGTGAACATATTTATAAGATGGATTGATATGTCAGTTTTGAAATAAGCTTTGGATGTAAGCACCAAATAGAATCTAGACTACGAACACCAGGGACAAGTTATCACGAGCTAACAGATAACTGTGCAGCAGCTGATCCATGATAATTTTCTGTGTAAGCAGTTTTAGAGAAAGAGAGATGTGAAGCAAGTCCATGGAAAGGAGAGCAACTAATTTGCAGCAACTGAAGCTTGTTATGTTGTTGCCACAAGATAACAAAATTACCCTTTTGCTTGTACTTTTTGCCATGGAACTGACATTTTATTATTTCTGTGCTAATTTTGTACCAGGAAGCTGGGAAAGTCATGTTATCTTGTAATGTAGTACCATTTTGGAAAATACAGGTATGTATTGGAGTTTTTTGGAGGAATGTAGCAAGCTGTGAACTGCCTATAGGAGGTACACAGCATATAATGGCAATAAATTTATTATTTATGAAATTATTTGTATTTTTCATAATAGTATTGGTGAAATTTTTTGGAACTGGGTAAAAACACTGTGACTAGCCTAACAATATTTACATGACTCATGGTAATTTAGATGTAATTAGTGTAGCAGATAGCAATATTTAATCAGCACTTTTTATTCATTTATGTCATTTTTATAAGGCAGCTTCATCCATGTCTGACAGCATGGGAATTCAGCACCATCTTCCCTATTTCTCTCAGGGTCATTTGTACTTTGTTTTTATCCAGAAGAATGTATGAAGTATTGAGAGGAATATTTCCAAAAGTCCCCATTTTTTGGTTTTGTTATTGTTACAGGGTTTTTTTATTGTTTAATAAGCCCTTCGAAAAAGCAAGAATGCTTGGCACTGGAAGGGAACTTCTGTGTATTCATATAGAGCTCTTTTGTCCTTCACGTCCATTTAAAAGAACACTTTCTGGTATGTCAAAAATAAAAGTAGAAATCATGTTATGCAGCCTTACAGCTAAAAAGCAGTGGGCTAATAAATGCAGCTGTAGCTCTGAACTAATATTAGCTGGTGATGAGGACATACATACCTACGCCTCACAAGGTTTGATACAACTTTAAACTATTGAGCTAATTTATATCTGTTTCTACTCCATGCAAAATGTTAATACCACAGTTGTAGAAGATGGACTTGCAGTAATCAAAGTATTTTTCAACACTTTGTGATCAAAAAAGGAATTTGCTTCAGTGGGGGCTAAATGCAGAAAGAACCATAAATAAAGCATGATTAAGTAGATGGGTTAAATTAATGAATGTTGTTATCAGGGCGTGCCATTGTGCAGAGGTATTTGTAGCACAAATACTGATTACGTGTTTCTAATGATGAGATGAATATGCTCATTTTTTTGGCTTGTAATGTTTACAGCATAAAATAGTCAGCTATGACCTCCGTCATTTAATGTTGTTTTTCCTGAGTTTCTGCTCCAGTACAGTATTTTCTTGTTAAAGAAGTGGTATGGAGCAATCAGCTTTCCAGATTCCATCAAGGAAGAGGAACACATTCTTTACTGTTGTGTCTTGCAGCTAGACTTTTTATTTTTGAAGCCTCACTATTGCCCCTTCCTCTCCCCCCAAAGAAATTAAAAAATTCAGTCCAGGAAAGAGAGATCAGATAGATGAGTCTGGTCTGAGCATCTGACTGTGGTGGAAAAACAGTTTCCTTACAACTCCAGAAGTATTAAACTCTGCACTTGAGCTCTGGCCTCTGGATTTCTGGGTCTGTAGTGATGGGGAAAGCTAAGAAAATAATTGCTAGATGCCAGATCACTACTTCTCTTATGCAGTGCCATGAATTAAAGTGACTGGTGTCTAGGGCAGACAGAAAAATTGAATTATGGTGCTTAATATCTTGCTTGTGGTTTATGGACAAACAGTAATTAATGAAAGCACATCCTGAGTGCCTCTTGCTTGGGTTCACTTGAGGAAAAATCCTCTTGATTTGAAATTGAAAGTTATCTTTAGTTTCTTCTCCCAGGTCCAACAACCAAGTACCGTAACACTGCAGTGACACATCAGAGTGACCTGGTCATGTACTGGAAGAGAAAACTAAAGCCAAGCTAATGCTTTCTTGTGTTTGGGCATTAAAGGATGGTCTGGGTGACAGGCTCTGCTGTGTGATTTCTTAGTGTTGCAGACCAGTGGTTGTCATGGCCTGTGTAAACAGGTGCTGGTTTCATTTTTTTCTGTTAAGTGCTTTGTTTATTAGGTTTAGTTCTCCAGTCACTGCTGATGTACAGTTCTGTAGTAAAGCAAAGAAAGCAGTCATAGTTTATTACCTTAAAATTTGTCAGGACATGAACCTTGCTGCCATATCTCTATTCCTTTCTTATGGCTCTGTACTTGTGATTGCTTCAAGCCTTAGAGTTTGTTTCAAAATACCACTATAGGATCTTAGTTTTCTTTTATCATGAAAGGAATGGTACCAATTCTGTGTACTCAATCTGATAATGTCAATGGATATGTTGTTTTCTTTGCCTACAGATTGTCTTCCAGCATAAATTCTGTAGAAATGCTGGATGCATTTTATGTGTACTTGTTTATTGAAAATTTTAGATTGTTGAAGCAGAGTAGAGTGAAATTCTTTTTTCTTAGTGCATTTTCACAAGTTAAACGAGGCCGTGTTACTCAGTACTAATGGCATGAAGGGATTTTCCTACCTATTTTGAGAGTTATTCTGGTGATCTTCAGTTTAAATTTGGCAGTTCATTTTAACAGTTGGAAGAAATTGAAACATCATGACAGTTTAATACATGAATAATCTGTATGAGCCAATATCTGTATGTACAAATATAGCTCTGGGTAAAGAGCACAGTGACTAGCAGCTAAAAAGGCTGTCTCCAGGGGCTGTGATGGAGATAGGTGGAGTAATATCCGTGGTAGGTCTGTTCACCTGCAAGGTGTGCCAAGACACACTCATTCTCTGGGTGTGCCAGTATGCTAGTTATTGCTTTGGTTCTGTGATTTGTGTACAGAGTAAGAACCTGTCTTGAAATGTTCTCAAGAAGTAATTTAGCCGACTAATAACCTATTGGCACTACTTTGGAGAGGTGCATGGACTGGGATTTTTGGGTTCACCCATGTCTGTTTATTTTGCCTCTCCTGCCCATGAGCTTTCTTCAGGCTGTGCTGACTCTGGAGACAAGTAGTGGGAGACAGTTGTTCTTTTAAAGCAAGGCAGCTGCACTAACTGCTCCTAGGCAGGAGTACGCAGCTATTGTAAGAATTGTAAGCTACTAAATATATTATGGAGAACTTCTAGAGAAAATGCATTTTCTTTTAAACAGTATCTTTTTCAGGTTTCTGGTCTTTGTGTTTCTTCTCGTTTTGGGCAGGATTACAGAAGCTCTACTTTGTGGAGTATAGTTTGTGGTGTACCAAGTCTTGTAAATAATCCCATGTGGGGTTAGTAAATGGGAAGGAGTTAATTTTCAAAATCCTCTTTTAGGACACTTTTGCTAGCTGACTAATTGTTAATGCCTTAAAATCATAGAATCATAGAATTTAAGGGTTGGAGCGGACCTTACAGATCATCTGGTCTCAACCTCCCCTGCCATGGGCAGGGTCACCTCCTCTCTAGATCAGGTTGCTCAAGGCCTCATCCACCCTGGTAGTAAGGATTTATCTGTAAGTGTGTTAGGTTGGAGGGGTTTTGCTGAACTATACAGAAGGTTGTTGGTTAGTGTTAAACTATGCAGCGTACTGATAATGAAACTTTTGCACCTATTTCTTGGAAGCAAAAAGCCCCAATTTCAAGAACAGTAAGTTCTTAAATATTCCTCTTTCTGTTCGTGGTCTCATTCTTTCCAAGATCACCCATTCCACCTGATGCTTCTTCTATAGCTTCAGCAATATTAACTTTTCAGGAGCAGGAAACTGATGCTCCCAGATTTGTCAACCAAACAAGTGCCTCTCTGAAGCTTTGCACTGCAGACGTAGTGGACCTGAAACATAGATGTTCAGGAAAAGCCTATTAAACATTCTTTCAAACAGCATAATTGATCTTGGACATTGTACTAGACTAAGATGTTGGGAGATCTGCTTTATTCTAATTAATGTGAGGGGTCATAGCTTCAATTTTGGCGCATTTCACAAATCAATTTCACAAATTTAGTCCACTGAATTTTTTATTTAATGAGAAGATAATATGCAAAAACTTAAGGTGCAGTTAATTTATTTTCTTCTGCTGACTCAGACACCTTGCATCTGAATATTTCCAATTATTTTTTCTGCAAGGAACATTCAAGGCTGTTAAAAAACTGGTCCTTTAGTAGTTGTTTCATAAAGTAACCTAAGTCTCATGTTGTTTCATTAGCAGAGTAATGACTTTGCAGTATGTGCTTTAAGGATTTGGTTTCATGTCCAGGTTCAGATGAAGGTTTCCAAAATATTTTCAGATTTTGTCATAGAAGTTTTAATTCCAGTTTTCCAATAAGATTTATGTTACTAATTTCACACCATTTAAAGTGAAGAACTGTTAAGAAAATAATTAGGAGTAGTCATTTTTTGGTACAAAATAAAAATTGGCAGAGGCTGAAGTAGGCTGCTTGCAGAATTTGTAACATGAATGAATTCAATGGCTAGGCAGTGTTCAGAATAAGAAAATACAAGCAGAGTTGGACTTCATTTCTTACTACATGCTGGAACTTTGGATGGGGGAATAGCATTTCCGTTTTCTTCTGTAAATAGAATTAATTAGTCGTTATTGTTCTGGGTGATTTGAAGTAGGCCCATTCACTCAGAAAATGTTAAGAAGAGCAGTCCAGTTCTTTATAGAAAGCTAGTACTTTCCTCATTCTGAGTTTTGGGTTAGGTTCTTTGGGGGATTTTGTTGTGGGTTGTTTGGGTTTTTGCCTTTGTTTTTAGTAGTTTAATTTGAGCAAGGAGTCTGCTGGAGTCAGCTCTTATTTTTACGCTCATAGCCGTAGTGAGGAAGAGCATGTGCAGTGCATCTTCAATGAAACAGGCACCTCCTAAGAGCTACTGCAACCCTGAGGCACATCCCACTCGTGGTCCTGGAGCTCCTCTGCTGGGGTTGCAGTGACAGCTGCCATGGTTGTCTAGGCGCTGGCATATCTTCCTTCATTTGGCATCCTTTTGTTCCACCCCTGCTATAGTTTGGGGGTTTTTTGGAGCAGCTGTTAAGCTTTTCTTTCCAGGCCTGGAAGTTCTGAAATCCTTGCTTGGTATAAAATTGGGTGTATATGAAGACCTGGAGGCATTGCATCCCAGAAAGCAGTTTACAGATAGCAGAAATACATTATGCTGGTATTCAGGTCTTTTAACATGGCATGTAAAAAATGTTGGTTCTCTTCTTTCTCAACCCACAGGTTCGCCATAAAATGACACAGAAAGTTTATGCAATGAAACTACTTAGTAAATTTGAAATGATCAAGAGATCAGATTCAGCCTTTTTCTGGGAAGAAAGAGATATCATGGCCTTCGCCAACAGTCCTTGGGTGGTTCAGGTAAGGAAGATATGTAAAAGAAAAAAATAAAAAATGATAAATAGAAAAATAACAATAATAGCAGCAGTAATAATGGTGGTGATGATGATGATGATGTCATCAATATGAGCTAGTTTTAAAATTACATCTATATGCAAATCATGGCCTAGGTTCATATTTTTAATTTTAAAAATAGAATTTTACAGCAATTTCACTGAGTTTTGTGTATTTGGCTGTGTTAGAAAGTAGATTAATTTACATTTTAGTTACTACAAATGCATCATAAAACAGAATTAAACAGTTTTTTAAAATATCCACATAATTATTTGGAATAATAGGGAAGTGGCCTTTCCAACTAAGAAAAATTCTGTATATAAATGTAGAAACAAATGTCAGTGTTATTTCCATTCTTTCCTCATGATAGAGTAAGTTGATGACAGGCAATTGTTAGTAAGAGTGCTTTAAATAGTCAGTGTCTTCTCATCTGCAATTTGGTATAGGGGTGAGAGTGTGCACTCCTGGTTGCTGCAAGATGGGAGGTTGTAGCAGTAGTTTGTTTGAACCCATCTTCTGTTTAGGTCAGTTACAGCCTCTTAGCTTGGAAGTAATATCCAAGTAATGGAAAGTTGACTTCTTCAGCTGGTCTTGAACACCATTGCTCGCAGCTGTCTTATGACACATATCATCATGATGTTGTAATGTGAATTGTGCCTTTGGGAAGAATTACTGAATATTACCATTTATTGCAACTGGTAAATTACCCCAGTTAATAGAATGAGTAGTGAAAGCATGTGTGTGGAGAGATTGTTAGTACTTAATTTTGTTCAATAATTAATACATTTCAATGCACTCACATGTATTACCATGCTTCTGTGTATTTAATAAGACTGGCCTTAAGTTTACTATATATTCTTCCTAGCACTTTACCTCATGGATGCAAGAAATGTTTTCCAGGGTCTTGTATTTAAGTGTTTTGCTCCTCTGAGTATGTTCTGTGCTCTTGCCTATATTCAGCAGAAATGCTTAATCAAATGGATGATTTTTTAATTTAGACACAATAGGTGTCAGGAATTATTTTTATTTTTCACATGCAATTGAAAGTAACAAGAAGTGCATGACATGGATTTTCAAAGGAAAGTGTCACAAGCAAGATATAAATGTCTTATCTGTGATTTAAATAGCAAATGAAGTAAAGTGTAGTTGCAATTGTGCCTTCTATGATGAGGTGTATTAGTGTGACATATTTAGGTAATGTGGTCCAGTGGGATAGGACATCGAGTTGGTTTGAAGAAAATGTAGGTTCTGTTCTGAGCTAGAAACTGGGACAGGTCACACTGCTTCTCTGTGCCTTGTTTTTAATGTGAAAAACAAATGAAACAAGAGCTCTAGGTAATTGTTTTAATGAAATCGCTTGAGGGCAATAGTGAAAGTGCTGTATAAAGGCACAATGCTCTTATTTATTATTGTGTTACATTAATATCTTTACATGAGAGAACACAGAGATAATTTTTTTTAAATTTAGACTTTAATGACCAAATGCATTATCTTACTATGTATTGCATATGTTATCCATTTGGGAAAACAAATAAAATGCAATATGTATGTATAAAATATATATTTCTAATACAGGTCTTCTGTCACTAATTATAGAATTAATCTTTATCTAAAAGTCAAATCTCCATATTAATATACCTGCCTTTCGTGGTTTCTCGTCCTCCATGACCTCCCTGATTTTGACTTCCTCCTTTCCACACATCCTGTTTTTCAATTGCCTTTACATCTTGTGTGGGTAACTTAAAGATATGAATAATTTTAATTTTTAAGGTAAAGGAGCAGTATTCCCTGAGAAATGAGGTGAGACTTTCAGACACTTTTTCACACCAGTCATTGAATGTTTGATATTAATGCTTTTTGCTGGCTTGGGCTTTTTTCAGACCTGATGATCACTGGGTGAGATCTCTAAAATTTGTGTGCTCTGGGTCTGAAATACATTTTTAAAGAGACTAGCCTTACTTTCGCTATCATGTCAGTAGGAAACATACTGACTGCAACCTAGACTAGACCAGTATTCTGTTGTTAAGGATAATTTCTTTGTATTGTGTTATAGTTGTCTTCAGGAACATTTTGTTTTTCTTTGTTATTTCAATATATGTTGATTTAGGACAAACTCAGTAGTGACAAGTGTTTTTGTAAACATGTACAGAGATAAGGATTTTATAATATGCATAATTTAGAGGCAATCTGAGATGCTGCTCACTGCTGAGATATTTTCAAATCAGTACATGGTGCCCCCTTTCTCATTTATGATATGTTATTTTTCATTTTGACTCAGTGACACTTTGTAATGCCAAGAAACATGGAGAGATATGTATGTGTATATATATATATATATTTATGTAAGCTTATACTGCTAAAATAATTAGGAAATCTTTTTTGCTTCCTTAAAAATAAAAACAAGGGGGGTTTGTAGTTCAGTATCTTTCAAGATACTGTCATAAATAATAGAAAATGTACAATCTGAATGTAAAAAGTAAAGTTGTTTACATCAGTCTTAAACATTTCCTCAGGTTTAAAGAAACTTCAAGATAAAGGGCTTTATTCTTTTTCCCAGCTGTCTCTGAAAAGTAATTGCATTTTTTCTTTTCCTTTTTTTAATATTGCAGCTATTTTGTGCCTTTCAAGATGACAAATACTTGTACATGGTAATGGAATACATGCCAGGTGGAGATCTTGTAAACCTTATGAGCAATTACGATGTGCCTGAGAAGTGGGCCAAGTTCTATACAGCTGAAGTTGTTCTTGCTCTTGATGCAATTCACTCCATGGGCTTGATACACAGAGATGTGAAGCCTGACAATATGCTTTTAGATAAATATGGGCATCTGAAGCTGGCAGATTTTGGCACTTGTATGAAAATGGATGAAGTAAGTATGCAACTGAATAATTTATAATCTGTAAAACTGTAATCATAAGGTTATTTTCTTATGAGTTATCAGGCCCAGAGGAATAGTCATCAAACAGTCCTCTTGGTTAGAAAGCTGTTCCTTGTCTCCTAGTTTTAAATAAAAGAGTACTTTAAATAGCGTTACCTTTTCTATAATAAACTGTTCTGTCATACGGAAGAAGCATGTAAACTTACTTTTTGTTATTTTTGAAAGCATGTGTGTTTATAAATTTCTGAAGTTCTTTTTTTTTGGCCAAATGTCTGAAAAGCTTATGAGACAACTCCTTGTTTCAACATTAGTGACCTTGGAACACTTCATAAACTGACATTTTTCTGTAAATTAAATTATTTTATAGGCAAGATACAGTGCCATGTTTTTTCCTGTGTCTGATTGTTCTCATAGCATCCTCTAGTGGTCGTTCCAATGAGGTCACAGTGAGGCAGCAGTGGTATGCGATATATTGATCAAATGTGTTAGCTGTTTGTCAGAATGTCATACATTTGAATTGTGCAGATTTTACCATGTACAGCCAAGTACAGTTTTCTAATGAGATCGTATAAGAATATTCTTTAGCAGGATGTAACACTTTATATTATCAAAGGAGACTTAAAAATAAAGCTACCTTTTGTATAAGCCCTCTTAAAATCTTCCCTGGCAAACAGTGTTATGCTGTAATTTACAGAATATATTCTTCCTGTGAAAAATGTTAACAGATTGAAAAAAAATGTGTATGAATGTGTGTTATGATTTGCCTGCCCTTTGAAAGGTTTCTGTATTAATGTTGGCAAGGGCGATCCTTTTCAGCTTACTCGCTTTAATGTTTCAGATTTTTTTTTCTGTATTTAGGCAGTGCTCAATATAATCTCTGCAATCTACTTAATTTGCATTTGCATCATGATGTTAATGTCTCTTTAGCTGTATCTAGAAATACAGATACAGAGACACCAGCTGTGTTCTGGTTAGGTAGGGTTTTTTCACATAGCGTATAAACTTCATTATACAACTGCAGCTGTTTATTCAGTTTATTCAGTTCAGTCTATTTAGTTTTGCTGATATTGTAGTTACTATTCTAAAGGCAGAGAGAGAATGTCTACCTACTCTTTGATTTACTTGCCTGTATTTTAGGGGACAGCCTTTACTTCAATTGAAAAAATCAAAATTAGTGCTTGGCCTCTTAATTCAGTTCTTAAAAAACAATTTTTGTTTTGAGTCCATGAACTATAGTTCTTAAGGGAATCTGTTGTTCACCTGAAGAGACATTAAAAAAAGCATCAAAATGTTCATAATATAAATCTACTAAGAAAAGGGATCCCAGAAATGGTGGACCTAGGCCGTTTTTTCCTTCTTCTTCATTGCTGTTATTAAAAGAATGGAATACTGAACTGTGGATGGTGATATTGCAAATGTAAGAAGTGCATGCATGTTTCTGGTAAGGAGTTACAGTGAACTCCAGTTGGGACTGTGCGTCATCAATGGACCAGTGATTTCCTGAAGAAGTTAATTTTTTAACAGATTTCATTTTAAGTTCTTCATGTTTTTCAGACTCAGTGAAATGGCAAAAATATTTTTTACAGGAAGCTTTAGAAGTTGAGAGGTTCTGGATTGCCTCCAAACCTCATGCTACTTCTTACAAAACATGAACACATCCCAGCTGTGTAAATATAATACTGGTGTTGGCAGGCGGATTTCTAGAAAATATATGCTTACCCAATACTCACTTGGTTTTTTGGATTTGGATTTCTTTTAGCAGTTGTGCACACTAGCATCTTCCTTGTGCTGTCGAGAGCTCAGAAAAATCCTGCTGCAATTCAGTGAAGGACTTTTTTGACCTTTGCTGTTGAGTTGAATTCAGTGTTCACTTAGGTCTGCCAGGCCAGGCCAGACACAGCAGAATTCTTCCTTAGCACTATGTGAAGAGAGTTGGTGAATGTTTCAGTGATCTTTTCCAGGATAAAAGGAACTGTCCCGTTGACCTAACTCAGTTGTAATGATTTTGGGTTCTGTGGTGGGTTTTTTGGTGTTTTTTTTTTTTTTTATTTGTTGCCTTTTAAAAAATATGTAACAAGGTGAATATTTCTATTTTTGAATAGAGAATGGAGTTGGCCATTCATCGTGGTTCCCTTTTGGTATTTAGGTATGATTAGGTAGCCCTGGGAAGGTTTCACCTGGTTCTTTCTAATCGTAGATAGGTGTTGTAAGGCCAGGAGCTCCCAGTGTTGCCAGACTCGGTACATGGTGCTGTCTTGTGCTAACTGAGCTTTCACAAGACCACAGGTTAGAGGATATCTGGTGAAAATAGACATGACCAAAAGAAAGGATGTTTACTATTTGGGATTATCGCTTCAGCTCAGGCTCGTTTTAGAACTCAACTTGTTTCTCATTGAAGCTTGTCCAAGACTGTGCTGGATCCTTCTTGCTTCAGTCCATTGTCTGCAAGGCATTGCACAAGCCCACGTGCAGTGTTAACACCTGATGTGTGCTATCCTAATGTTTCCACACAAGCACTCTTCAGCTCTTGTTTACTGAATGGAACTTCCCGAGGAGTGAAAACCTGATTGTCAGCCTTGGTTCAAGACTGCAAGTCCTTCAGGTCTGATGGAGATACTCCTGAAGATGAAAACTGAATTGCTTTGTCTTCAGCAATGTAGTAATACTGAATGATGCTAGGAAACACTACAGTCTCACCGCCAAGTTGTTAGGAGCTGTGAGAATATGCCGTGTCTCCTGGACAGCCTGGTTTTTAAAATTGTGCACTGCACATCTCTCACATAACTGCAGGACATGAGTTCCAAGATCCACCTTGATCTTTTGAGGTGATGAGAAAAGTTTCAGGTAAAACACTGGCCTGAGACTCCAGTCAGGAAGCTTTGTATGAGTGTGCTACTTGGGCATAAAACAGAGGGGCTCAATATTTGAAACACAGGAGTAGTGCATTGGCCAGAGAAAACAGCACCCTTTAGGTCTCTTCAGAACGTAGGAACTGCCAAGATGCTCTGTACTGCACAGAGAAGATGTCCCTGTTTACTTGGCTTTGATGCCAGAGATCACAGAAGCTAGTCTGGCTGTGGTATTAAAGGTATCCAGTACTTAAAAATACATACAGAGCAACGCGCGAGTTCTTTGAAAGAACAAGTGTGTAAATGACACAGCTTGGGTCAGTTAATCTTTCAAGGTCCCCTCCAAGCCAGGCTGTTCTGTGTTTCTGTGAATGCATTTTTAGCTTGGTTCCTGAGACAGAAGAGAGAGAGTTTTATGGGGCATAAATACAATCAGCTGCTTGTGCTTTGGAGGGGTACAGTCCCATGAAAACTGGTGTTAGCATTCAGGACCCTTTTAACTGTAGAAATATATTTTTTGTTTTGCTGTTCAGTTCTTTGGCATCTTGTCTGAAAACTCAAGATGTGTTGTTACATGGAGTTCTTTATCATGTGTAACGTCATTGGAGAGAACTTTCCTTGTTGCCACATACCAGCCATCATCTGGCTGGTTTAGGCTCAGCCTTTGCTTTGTTTAAGACTTCACAAAATAACAACATGTGTAACATATTAAAAAGTGTTCTTGTTTTGGTGTATTAATTATAGAGGGATGGGAGATGGGGTGTTACTCAATGCTTAGGTGTCAAGGTCATGAGGCTGTGACTAGAGCTGCAGTCTTCAGAGAAACCTTTCAAAACTGTTTTGGTTACTTTGTTTTTAAAGAATCTTCTTACCCAGAGGGAGGGATTCAGGTGACTTCAACCACTCTTGACTGAGTAAAAATTTAGACTTTGCCTTTTTGTAATTTTTCCTTTGGATAAGGAAGAGATAGACCCACACCAGTACTGGAGGCCTCATTGAGATGCCACAGTCCTACTAGATAAGCACAATTGTATAACCCTTGAGCAATTACTCCTGTGCCAAAGCAGGGAGGCTTAAGTTTCAGAGAAGACATGTAGGTTGGTGCACAGAGTGCTCTTACAAGGAGGATATTCAAGGAATGGTTCCTGCCACATGCCAGGTCCATTTTTGAATGCTCTCAGTTTTAGATTTCTGGAGCCTCTGGGTTTTAGTTTATTTCCCAGTGCAAAAATGTGTTTGTCTGTATTTTTATTTGTCCAATGAATGCATTAGGTCTTCTGAAAAGAGTTAACTTCATTTTCTTATTCCAGGATGAATAAGTTATCTGCTGTCTCATCCATAGTGTAGAAGAAGTCAGAAATTAACTTACTCTACATTCTGGAACTGAGAAGTCAAAGCTTCTTTAGGATTTCAGCTTTAGCATGGTGTTGTGGAGGATGATAGGCATTTGCTAGGAGGACATTTGAAGTACTCCATAGGTCTCTACAATATTTAGTCATCCTTTTAGTTTTTGCCTGCTGGTTGATGACTTTCTGGATTCTAGTTTAGGACATAAATAAAAGCTTTTGGCAGTTCATATTTTGTATGAAAAGGAATATGGTAACGTGATGTCTAAGCTTTACACATCAATATAATTTCCAAGTCAAAACATTTCACTTATTTTCTTTAAGTAAGTATTTTGACTTGAGTAGTTGCTACTAATATTCTGTGTTAATATTCAGAATTAATATATATTGCCATTCATGATGATGGCAAAATGAACAAAGAACTTTGTAAGATGACTTAGGTAAGATTTCAGATTGAGAGACAGTATAAAAGATGAGTGTATTTTTGGTACTTCTGTAACTTCATCCAGGATTTCATTTCACTTATCCATCTGGTCTCTCTGGAATGAATGCAGTGAATTTGATTAAAGGAACCAAGGCTTATAACTCTGTACCAGAATGAATGCTGGCAGATGTCACTTAGTCCTTGCATTTTTAGACTCTCAGTGTGAAGCAAAGGGGATGAGGAATCATTCCATTAATACAACTGTGATATGTTAATGTAAAAAAAATACCCAAACATTTTTATTTAAAAAGAAAAGATTTGCTGTTCTTTAGAAATATCTTTTCCTTTTGTTTTTCTTCCTGTCTTTAAATACATAGCAAGGTGTGACTATAGAGATTTATCTATAACTCAGTTTATTGTCTGAATTAGACAAAATTGTTACGTGTTTGCTGTGTAGGGCCTAGAATTCATAACTTGTCAAAATTGTTCTAAAGTTTGCTCCTGAGTTCAATAAGGTAAGAAGCAGTCTGATATGATGTGTAAGTTCATATTGAAACCAATGATAAAAATTAGAAAATTGGTCAGTTTTTGAAAGATGCCATCAAGAGAAGTCACTAGGGAGTAGGTAGAGATGAGTGTGTCACCAGGAAATGCCTTTTCAGTCCATATTGCTTCTTGAGTAAAAAAATAGTGCTTGAGACACAATTCCCAAACCAAGCATTTTAGGCTGTATTTTTGTATGCGTTTGTGTTCTACTAATAGATGAATTGTTTAAAGACTCGGAAGTATTTCTAATGGAGCTGTTTGTGTTGCTGTTGCTCAGACAGGAATGGTGCGCTGCGATACGGCTGTGGGAACCCCCGACTACATATCTCCTGAAGTTTTGAAATCGCAGGGGGGCGATGGTTATTACGGACGGGAATGTGACTGGTGGTCTGTAGGGGTTTTCCTTTTTGAGATGTTGGTTGGTAAGTAGTGATTTCTTCTGCTAATGAGATTATCACTGGGTCTTTATTGTGTCTTTAGCTGTACTTCGCTGTGTGAGGGCTGGTCATACCTCACAGCTTCTGATCTCTGGCTGGTGCTGTGCCTTCATTCCTGTTCTCTTTGCTCTCTGTCACTCTTACGCTGCGACAGCTGTTTGCGTGCTTGCTCAGTGATTAGTTCCCTGACTCGGTTGAGCTTAAAACTAATTCTTAGAATAGTTTTAACTAGGGTCAGCTACCTCACCAGCTCATGAATGTTTGTGCCACTGCAGGGGCAGTACTGAGTTTGCAGGGAAGCAGAGATGAGAAAGGAGTGGGAGGGTAGGACTGCCCCTTTCTTTTCCCCTCTTCTGGTTTTTCCACTGCATGTCAGTGTCTTCTCTTAGGTCAAAATGTGGTAGTATGGCTTGATTCTTTTATGCTTGAGTCAGGATTTTCCAGCAAAATATACTGGACTGCTGTGGCAATGAACATAAAATATAATCTGTCAAGGAAATGAGTCATGTGCATCTTCAAGTGCAGTGAGGATCAGTATCATAGTCTGGTAGCAAAATACTGATTATAGAAGGATGGAGTTGAGCATATAATTATTAAAAATCCAAATCAGCATGTTCTGGGAATATTGCCTATTTGATGTTTCGGGTGTCCTGAGCCAGGAAAGACATTTGGATATATGATGCTATTAAAATTTCTATGTCTCTCAGAATTAAGACATTTTGACTTCAAAAAAAGTGGGGTTTATAATTAGTAGTCTTTCATGAATAGTTTAAGCAATAAATAGAATTAATTGGCTATTAAAATACTGGACATAGCTATCCAGAATATTTTCTCAGAGCCTCTTACTTAATTTCTCCATATCCCACATGTTGGTATAAATTACCTATTTTTCTTTGTGCTTACGTATCAAGATTCAGCCTATGATCTTCTAAAACTTTACACGTCAAAGAAAGCACAGAAACTGTCCTTTTGTTCTGGTTTTAGTAAAACTGCAGTTCTAATGAAGATGCTACTTTTATTATGAAAATGCCAATTTTATTGTGTGCTTAACTAAGAGGTAAAATATTGGTCACAATAGGTCACAATTCAGTTGGTCATGAGTCCTAATGTTAGTTCAGTGACTTGGGATAGTTTTGAGGTGTGGCCAAAATCAAAGCTGTTTCTGAGGTGGAAAACAATTGAGAAGGGGAAGGCTGGGAAAGAGGTAGGTGGCAGCAAGTGTCAGTGATCCCCCCACTGCAGTGCCCTGCTATGGCAAGCTAATGAATTTGCTAAAAGACTAGAAGATCAGTTCAAGCTGGTGTGTGCCAATTTCTAATTTTGCCATAAAATGACAGAAGAAGACTAAAGTTAGGATTGTTGTATTTATATTCTCTTAAGAGTGGAGTGGGTTTTGCCCAGTGGTCTGTACATTTTTCATGTACCTGCATTTGACATGTTCACTTCCCTGCTGGGAGCATACAGCCAGCATGCTGCTTGCCCTGCCAGGTGATCCTGCTCACAGCACACCAGGACCCAAACCATTTGTGTGTCCTGAATGCTGTCAGTTGCCTTTATCACTGCTGATTTTTTTCATGTGTCCTAGTTTTACCTTTCTTATCTAAACTAGATCTATCTTTAACTAAGATACATCTTTAACTAAGGCCTATGCTGAAAACCTTTGGGTGAGAAAGGTCTATGATTTTAAAAGCCACCTGCCATGTTAGTATGGGCACTCAAGCTAATGTAATTTGTCAGTCAACAAGATTTATTAATATGGATTTAACAGTGCAGTAACACACTGGGAAGGCTCTTGCTCAGAGCTGGCTTGCCTTAGGCAGGATAGACCTGCGTGCCTCTGAAATGGTGTTCTGAGAGCTTTGGTGGATTCTTTCCACAAATGTGCATTAGCAAATGTTTTAATGAGTTTTGGTCCATTTTACCCTTGGGAGTGTTTAAAGATGGGATTTATGTGGGTGTCAGCCATTAGAAAACACAGTGAGAGTCTTCAGGTAGAAAAAAAGATGCAAAATTTTAGTAGTGATACACGAGATGGAAAATGGTATAATTTGTTACACAAGGCATTTTAGGGAAGGTATATTTTTAGTAGTGTGTATTATTTTGTACCCTGCGTGCCAATTTTCCTGTTTTTCTTAAAGTAAAACGCTATCTTAGGTAAACTGCTTATAGACTTTTCTTTGTGTCTTTTGTCATATTCAGCTTACATGACTTGAACATGACTCAGAATCTCAGTCAGTGTACTGTTTTATTTTCAGGCGATACCCCTTTTTACGCAGACTCATTAGTAGGAACATACAGTAAAATTATGGATCATAAGAACTCATTACATTTCCCGGATGACGTGGAAATCTCTAAGCATGCAAAGAACCTTATCTGTGCCTTTTTAACTGATAGGTAAGTGCGTGTATTGTTCTGGTGCTGTTTTTTTATTTTGGATGGTACTTTGTAAAAATTAGTTCCTTCCGTTATTTCTCTTAATCTCTGTTCAGATCTCTTCTTCAATTTCTCCTGCTCTCTAGTGTTTTCTTTTGGTGTGTTTTTTCCAGATACTGTGTTTTATTTCTGTGAGCAATTCTGACAGTTCTTGTTAGCAGCGTGGTTTGTGCTGGACAAATCTTTCCAATTGCAGTGTGTGCTAGAGTAACAAACCTGTAAGGCTGAAAGTAATTTGTAAGCTCTATGGCAGAAACCAAATTGTCTATGCAGTTGTTACATATGAAACGTGAAAGCAAATACTTTTCTGAAAGTAGGCACGTATTACATTTGTTTGAGGTTTCTTATAATGTTTGAATTATTTTTTCATTTGTTTCATTGCATTAATTGACAAGTATAGCTAACAAGTCTGCAAAGGTCTTGTTTTGGTTACAAATAGATCCTCTAGGTCTCCCTTTATGGGACTGGGCCATTTATTGATATTAAGCTGTGTAAGCTTGTTCTTGACCTGAGCACTTGCATTTTCTTCAGTTTCAAAAAGCAGAGATCATCTTTGATTTCTCTGATTTAAAAGAACAACACATAGTTGACTGGATTGATGATGCTTTCTTGTGCTTTCCCTGAATTTGGCTGGAGCAGAGCATCTAGCCACTAGGATAAGGGATTAGGAAAACAAATTGCCTCATTAACGTGTTTTGCATTCGAAGAGAGAGATTGTTTGCTTGGCTGAACAAGATCACAGTTACTCAGGAAGGATGTGCTTTATTTAACAGCGTTTTTCACCCTCAGTAGCTGAAGGGTAGAGAGAAAATATGAGTAGAATTTAATAATGTAAATGTGGCGAGGTGTACTTCCACTACGTATGTCCGTCTTCCTGTTTATATTTCATACAGTGCTCGAGCGATTTATTTGAAACAGATGCTTTCTTTCTGCCTGCGTGATCACTGCTGAAGCACTTAAAGAAGGACTAAGCATCGACCCTATGATTTATTACTTTTTTTCCATGCATTGTTTTTATGTCCTGTTCATGTAGATACTTTCAAGAGAGACTCTTCTGGTCAAACTAGAAGTTTCTTGTTGTACTTAAGATTTACTTCACTGCAAATATCAGCAAGAGACGTGTCAGGGTTAGCTGTGGGGCAGAGTGTGGAATTCTTAAAATATTTATTTTAGTCCAGCCTTGAATAACTGTTCTGTGCAGTAAGTTAGACCTTCCTTCACTTGCGTCTTATGGTTTGTCATGTGGTTTGGCAGACACAGAACTTCTGCAGTTTTATTTCCCCCAAGGGTGTTGAGTTTTTGTTTGTGTTTTTAGTTTCTTCTTAGTTTTTGCCTCAGTGCTGTCTTTCTTGCTTTACTCCCCACATGGCAAACTCCAAGTTCTGGACATTTTAGCAGTTGCAGGGAGAGTGCATGCTAAGAATCAGAGTACATTTTGTGTGAGAAACTATAGATCAGTAGTTGGTGGTTTTTGAATTTTGTTTTTTATCTGACCATGAATGTGGTTATGAAGAAGCCATAATTTAAACAACAAGAAAGAAAGGCTATTTCTCCTAATGTGGCTTTGGCTTAATTGCTATGTTTAGGGATGTACGACTTGGGAGAAATGGGGTAGAAGAAATAAAACATCATCCTTTCTTCAAAAGTGATCAGTGGAACTGGGACAACATTCGAGAGAGTAAGTAAAATAGCTTAACATTCTATTTTATTCAGTATTTGCAATAGTAGAAATCAAAAAACTTCAGGCTAGATAAATTATGCATTTTCTGTCTATCAATAATCTTGCACAAAATTTCATGTTTATGATTTTTATTATAAACACTCGTAAGGGTTAGTGATTACACATTTTCCCTACTGTAATTATCCTCACCTCCATCATGCTTTTAATGTCTAGATTTCCATTTTGAACAATGGAACTGCATGTTTCAGAATCTTAACTAAAAAGAGTGTATGTTAGGTTCTGTTTCTCTGTAACTTTTGTTGTTTAGGTTTGGGGTTTTTTGGTTTTGTTTTTTTTTGGTCTTCTGGTAGTTAAGACACCAGTTTAGCACTGGTCTTGTCAGTTTTACTGCTTTTCATTTTAGGTAGTGAGAACCTGTGAAAAAAGCAAAGTGTCTCGGTTCAGACTGTGAGCTTGATTGTAACTTTTGAAGTTATATATTTAGAAAAGTTTCTTAAAGTGATGATTGTGTTTAGAGTTCTATTCTCAAATGTGACTGCCTTAGCAAATATGTCTTTCATATTAGATAGTCTGTGCATTGGGCAACTAGTCTGAAAATAGATTTCTCTAGAAAAAACTGTTCCCAGTAACATTTCCAGCTCTGCTGCATGGTTAATACATATTTAACTGCAAGTTATTTAAGGACAACTTATAACAGAGTCTTTTAACATTAGAGACATAGCACTGTGTAGCAAGTGTCTGAATCTTGGAGTGAACTTCATCTTTTGTCCCCTTTTTATAGCTGCTGCTCCTGTTGTTCCTGAGCTTAGCAGTGATATAGATAGCAGTAATTTTGATGACATTGAGGACGACAAGGGAGACGTGGAAACTTTTCCAATCCCCAAAGCCTTCGTGGGAAACCAGCTGCCTTTCATAGGATTTACTTACTATAGAGACAATTTGTATGTGATACTTTAATATGCATTTTTTGAAATACACATTTACTTACATTTTACTTATATTATGTCCTTTTTTTCACTCTAGATACATGATTTATGCATTGCTTTATATTCATTTATGTTCGGTTCTGAAGATACAAAATATAAAGTTTGAATAGAGTAGTTTGTTACTACCTTGGTTATGTTAATAATTGTGATTAAACAGTGGTTTTATGTGCCCAAAATTATATAATTTCTTTAAAAATACATTAGGGTTAAAATACTGATAGAGTTGTAATTTATTTCTAAAATGGCTTTTTATTAGTTTCAGAAAAAGTATACACAAGATAATGGATTTGCAGAATTCAACTTGAATAATTAAATAATTGTATTAATTAAAAATTATAAGCTGTTGTGGATTCGGATACATGTTATACTTAAGGAAAGATTCAAATCATAAAGATTTGAAATAAAACAAGCTTCATTCTGAGAACTGCATAGGACGTACTAAGACTTGGGAGAATTGATTCAAGTGAGATGATTGGCAAGGTTGCCAGAGTTGTTGAAAACTTGAATAAGAACTGGAGGGTTTTGTTTTTTGTTTTTGACAGGTTGCTAAGTGACTCCTCTCAGTCTTGCAGAGAAAATGAATCTGTGCAATCTAGCAAAAATGAGGTTAGTGCCTTTTTTCCCTTAGTACAAACGGTATGATTAACTAAATTTTGTTAACTCTGTTAAAAGACAGAGTCTAAAATAAGTTTTCAAGCAATTTTGGGGGGAGCTTTTTGTCTTTTACTGATCTTCAATAAAAATGGTATTTTCTGTTTACAGGACAGCAAGGAGGTAAGTGTATTATCTGAATTATGAAAGGAATAAAAAAAATTCCTACATAATTTTATGTGGATGTGAAGTCTCTTAAATGTTTATTCACCAGAATGTTACAGTAAACCAGCTGTATTTTAAAACAGTTGTACTCAAGTGTTTAGGTGCTAAAGATGAATCAATGCAGGTTTTTCTCAAATTCTTTTGGCATTTAGAATTTGTTTGGAAAGCCATGTGTAAGGCTGTAAACAGCAGCACTCTTGTGAATTTTGAATTTGCCCGAGGGACTCTGATATATTCAGAGTTTGGAAAAGTACATTGTTACCTGCAGTGATAAAGGAACGTTTTAATTGTGCTTTAGTTGGAGTGTATGGAGTATGTTTATTCAGCTTTTGATGACTGAAAATTGAATTTACATTTGCGTATGACAGGAACATGCTATGGAATTTTCGTGTATTGACTTCAGTATGTTACTTAAACATTTATATTATTCAAGTGTAGGTAGCATGTTGTTAACCATTCTTAAAACTTACAATTCCTTTTCAAAGTTTAAAAAATAAGTAAAGGAAATACATTATGTATTGATCAGATAATTTTAAATACAAATGTGCATTAGACTCCACTTCCTTCCTGTCATTGCTGAATAGTTTTAGAGTTTCCCTGGTAAAAAAAAATGGTACTGCTGTTTAAAATACATAGTGTCACATTCATGATACTTGTTTTATGTTGTGATCATAAATGTGGTGGGTAGAGTTTTGAATTTCACTTCTGACAGCATATTTTATTTGTATTTTCTCAACCAGTGAATCGGCGTTTTTGGTGTCCTGTTCAGTGTTCCTGTTCTGTGAATCTTCTAGTTGTAACAATTATAAAATGTTTTAGAAAACCACATTTTTACATTTCATGTTTAGTGGGGTAGAGGAACAGGGGGAAGGGGAGGAAAATAAATGCATTTGAAAGCCTGAAGTTATGAGATGAATCCAAAATTTATTATTTATAATTTATTTAATTAATATTTTGGGAGTGGACTCACAATTTCTTTTATATTTTGGTAAGCAAAACAAAGCATTTCCAAACCTGAAAAGTATTCATTATCTTCTCTATGCATAAGACTAAGAAATTCTTCCCTATTGAAGGTCACTGAACATGTTTAATCATATTCTCTGAATATTGTCCAATGTGGTCATGTGCCCCTCCCTTTTTATTTTTTCATTTCATTTAGAAAAGGCTAACCCAAAAAATCTACTTCAGTGGAAAGTCTCTGTCTGCAGAGTACAGCACAGGGCCGGTAACAATCCTCTTTCCCCATACAAATTTTATGATTCACAATCTGTGACACATAATTCTGTGATGGTTTGATTGAATGCAGCAAATTTTGTCGCTACAGATCTGCGGTTTAAATTCATCAGGGTTAATACCTTGTAAAGATGGTTTAAAAATAATATAAAAAATAATATGGTGGAAGATTCAGTTAATTTTCCTCTCTTTACCTTATTTTTTTGTTATTTAATTGAATTACATTTGGTGTGTGTGGAAACATTTTTATATGTGGACCATGATTTTTTGGCGTTTTACACAGTTTCAGAAAAAACTAAGCAAGCTAGAAGAACAGCTCAGTAATGAATTACAAGCCAAAGACGAACTAGAACAGAAATACAGGTGAGACTGTTTGGACATGTTTGGTATGTTTATAAGGAAGTTTTATGAGACCTTTTGGGTTTGAATGCTTTAAAGCATTTCAATCCACTTTGGGGATTCCCAGCCCTGCACGCAGGCCTCACTGTAACTTGCTGGCTTAATTCTTGCTGTCCCTGTAAGAATCTCTCTATTATTTGAGTGAATTCCCCTGTCCTTGAGATTTCATGTGATTGCTGAAAATAGAATATCTTACGTAAAATTAATGAGACAAGAGTATCTTTTTACAGATACAAGAGTATCTATAAAATTAATTAGACATCCAAACATTCTAATGTCTGTATTATTAGTAGGGTTTAAAAATATTTTTCAAATTTCTTCAGGTCTACAAGTACTCGTTTAGAGAAGGTAGTGAAAGAGCTTGATGAAGAGGTAAGTCCATAGACACTTCTTCCTGGAATTAGAGCACTAACATTTGTGTGTGGCTTTTTTCTTTTGGTAACAGCAAATTATTTTTTAGTAGCTGTGTATTTATAGCAAGTAACACCAGTTGATTTCTTTGCATTCACAAGCATGAAGTTTTTCTCACTGCTAAAATATTTTCATTGTGATTTTTGTACTATAACTACACATTTCTTTGCAGAACTCCTTTTTTACCCTGTTTTAAGTTGGAGGACAGCATGATATAAATATCCCATGTAGATTGTAAAAGGAGAAGATGTGAGAGTAGTGTTTCTAGAGGAGGAAGGCCATGCTTTGCATTGTTCAGTGTTAGTGAAAGGAGCCTATTTATTGCCCAGCTTTGCACCCTTAGTACTGCTGCAAATTTGGATGTGGATGTGTACAGCTTAATGTATTGCTCATCTGGGTGCATGTCAAGATCTTACATTACACATAAGTTTCTCTGCTCCCAGACTGGCTGCTTAGGCAGGTCGACCAGGTTTGTCAAATCCAGATGATCAAACAGTATTTAAAGTGCAAAGCCATAGTCATCCTGGGCCAGATTTGACTACGTGTTCTGATACGTTGTGTTTGCAGCAGACAGATAGACTGGCACTCTCCATTACAGACTGAACTGAGTCTGTGAGCTGTGTTTTTATTGTATATCACTCTTGTGTATGTAATTAGTGGTGTATATTTTTAAATATATCCAGGTAACTTCAAGGAAGAATGTAGAGTCTACAGTCAGGCAGTTAGAGAGAGAGAAGGCTCTTCTACAGCATAAGAATACAGAATACCAGAGAAAAGCAGAACATGAAGCAGATAAGAAACGCAATTTGGAAAATGAGGGTATGTTGTACCATGCTTGAAGGGTTCCATTTTGATGTGGGCTTTTAAAAGATAAAATAAATGAATTATAGTTCAAATTAAAGCTTTTTCATGGCAGTGATTAACAATGTTGAATTGGGTTTGTTGTGTAGTTAACAGTTTGAAAGACCAGCTCGAAGATTTAAAAAAGAGGAATCAGAACTCTCAAATATCCAATGAGAAAATCAATCAACTACAAAGACAGGTATGTCAGTTTTATATATGTATATTTTGAAAAAACAGCTGTTTGAAGTACAGATTTTGGTAGTAGTGGAGAGATTTGAAATGTGTAATGGAGTTTTGAAAGCTGTTCTTCCTTATCATGTTTTGGTGTTCAAAAGTAATCTTAAAATACACTCCCTACTTCTTCAATCTATAAAACCTAGTATTCTGTAGTGAAAATAGTAGTTGTTATATTTTTGTTCTTTCTGAAGTATGTTTTTATCAATCTTAGTTGGATGAAGCCAATTCTTTGCTGCGGTCAGAGTCTGATACTGCAGCCAGGTTAAGGAAGAACCAGACAGAAAGCACAAAGCAAATCCAGCAGCTGGAAACTAATAATAGAGAACTACAAGATAAGAACTGCCTGCTAGAGAATGCAAAACTCAAACTGGAGAAGGAGTATCTCAATCTGCAGTCAGCTCTAGAATCAGAAAGGAGAGATCGAAGTCATGGATCAGAGATTATCAACGATTTACAAGGTATTCCTGCAAATCTTCTGAAGTTAAGATTGCTTCTTGTTTGAGAAGCAAAAATAGATTTGGGTGATATTATTTGTGCTTCAGACCGTGACTAGATTAGTGTACTGTTCTATAAAATGTTATGTAATTCTGAACACACATTTAAGAGAAAATGTGTGATAACATTTATAAAACATTGTTGATAACTTTTTAAATCACCCCAAAGAGAGATGTTCTTAAAAATGTCAGAATTAGAAGCTGTTACATTTGAAAGATGTTCTCTCTAAATAGACCAAGTACATTCTTGTTTTCACACACGGCCCAGCCTCATTGATCTTGTGGTCATTTTTAGGTCGAATATCTAGCCT